CGGTGAGTTACGCCCAGAGCTTCGGCCGCGCGGACGGTGGGTGCCCGACCCGGCGTGGCCCAAGGGTCACCTGTCGTTTCCTCACTTTTCTCCGAGAAGAACCGGCGTCTCAGAGCTGTGCCCCTCGTGGGGTGGTGCCTGACGGGGCGGCCCCACTCGCACGCTGGTGTCCGCTCACCCAGGTCGCCTCCGGCCCTGGGCCCTTGGCAGGGGGGACGTGAGGCGTAGTGAAGTACGAAGCGCCATTCCAGTCGGAAGCCTCTTCCAGTTGGGACGCTCCTCCCCTAAACACGGTCTATAGGAAAAGCAGCAGTTCAAGCGTTTCGGTTTGATTCTCACATTTCGTGGGGTGGGGGCGCTTCCTCCATGCAGGCGCCTGGCTTGTTCTGAGCAGGCTGCAGCTTTGCTGTTCTCTTGGTGCCCCCTGTGCTGCCCCTGCTCAGCCCCGGGGACTGTGATTTGGTCACTCGGCCTGGATGCGGCACTGGCAACTGGTCCCCCAGGACAGAGCTGGGAGGATTCCACACCCGAGGCTTTCTCCCCAGAGACTCGAGCAGAACGCAGGGGAGCTGACCGCTTCCTCCGACGAGCCGGCCATGCTGTGGGGAGCATCACGAGAGGGGGGGGGGAGGATGTGCCCAGATTCTCACTTGGTTTGCTGAGCCCAGGAAGGTGACACTGAGATCACTGTGACCCATGACGTGCCCAGTGCAGGAGCCCCAAGGGCGGAGGACTGAGAAGAACCTGGGGGTCGCCAAGGAGCCTGAGGCCCTGCTGCTTCTGCCGGTTCCGTCCCGATGTAGAGACACTGGCCGACACAGGACGTGGTCCCCCGCGTCTCTGGCTATTCCAGGCTCCTCGCTCTGTGCTTGCACCTGCAGGGCATGCCACCCTGGGCATCCCATTGTGGGCGTCCCGCCACACCAGGCAGTTAGGAGGGCAGACCCTGGTCCAAGGATGAAGGATGGTCCTGAGCAAGGGAGGGAGAGGACAGTGGCTCACGTGGTCACAGGTGAGGTCATAGTAACAGAACATCCCAAACTACGGTGTCGCTTGACAGGAGACAAAGCATCCAGTTTCCAGTTCCTGAGCCCAGATCTGGAGCCTGCAAGTCCAGTGCTCATTTTATTATAGAAGGAAGGGGGTGGTACTGCCACAACTGAAAGAGGGTTGACATGGGCCTGTTTGCCCCTTTTATGGAGTCGTCTTCAGTAACAGAAAAGAGAGGCTAGTAGCCACTCAGTTTGCTGGGAGAGACTTTCTGGCCACGAGTGCCTTACGTGTTGTTTCTGTTCCCAGGAAATTTTTGTTCGTTTATTTCCCTGAGAGTGGTCACTTCAGTTTGTAGAGATACAAAATCCAATCATCAAGTGTTGTCAGAGGACCAAGTGTATATAAATCACATTCATTCTTAGACACAATCTGGTTTTTAAAGAGAAAAAAAAATCTTCCCTGAAGAAAACTCCAGCCCCTGTAGAGTAACTGCCTCTTCCTCAGTTGATACATGTCAGATTCCAGGAAGGGAGGTCTGCCGGCACGCACGTGCCTGCTTCCATCAGATGGAAAGAGGAAAGGACTCGCTGCTTTTCTTTTCTTTTTTTTCTTTCCGGCAAACGGAGAAGGTGGTGGGAAGGCATTCCACATGGAGCAACTTCCGTAATTGAGGTATTTCCTTCCTCCAAATAGAACGATTTGTGTTGGCTGATGGATGTGGCTTGTCTTCCCCTCAGTTGGCCTTTCCTCAGAAACGGGAAAGCCAGACTCCCAAGTGGAATTTGGGGGCAGTGCTGGTAACGCCACACCCACCTGCCCGCGGCGCTGGTCCCGCAGGGAGCCCCCAGAGGGCTCGCTCCACCACGCAAAGCCACTTTGCTATGTACCCCAGCGCACATCCACAGGATGACCTTATGAGAGAAGCCGACCGCCGGTGAACGGGTCCCTCAGAACGTCAGGCGGAGATAGCGTCTGCGGTGATGTCTTGGCAATGCTGATTCCCACGCGTCCATGGGGACCCCTGCCCTGTGCAGGACCCGACACCCCCTACCACGTCCCGAGGGAGCCTTTTCTGAATTGGCGCGAATGTTGCTGCTTCGTCGTGAACCTCAAAACTGCTCACCTTGATTTTCTCACAAGCATTATGAACACTGAGGCGGGCAAGGGCTCTCACAGCGTTGCAGGTGGAGGACAGAGCAGAGGAAAAGACCCAGCCTGCTGGCTCTTGTTTTGAGAAGCGAAGCTGAGAAAAGATCAGAGAAGGGGTGCTCCTTGTTTGTTTCCATCATTTCCAGGGTGTGTGGTGTTGTATTACCTACGCATAAGTTAGAGATACGAAAGTTGATATGGCTGTATTTTCCTGGAGATAACTGTAAACATGTGTAACCTTCTGAGAGAGACAGAGATTGAGCCAAGAGAATTTCATATTTGCCAAATGTTCACTTTCCTTTCACACCCTGGCTGGAGGATGGGGGACAGGGCGAGGACACGGCCGTGGGCAGAATGGTGTCCCCAGGCCACCCTCCTGGTCCTGAGCATAGCCAGGGACCGCCTGGGGTCTGACATCAGGGATCTCCTGGGATCTGACACCAGGGGATCCCCTGGGATCTGAGTTCAGGGGATCTCCTGGGATCTGACACCAGGGGATCTCCTGGGATCTGACACCAGGGGATCCCCTGGGATCTGACATCAGGAGATCTCCTGGGATCTGACACCAGGGGATCTCCTGGGATCTGAGTTCAGGGGATCTCCTGGGATCTGACACCATGGGATCTCCTGGGATCTGACACCAGGGGATCTCCTGGGATCTGACACCAGGGGATCTCCCAGGACCTCCCAGCCACTCTTCTCCCCAGGCTCTAGGCTTTGTTTTGGAGAGAGGAACCAAAGTAACCTCCTTACCCTTTGAACAAGAGAAAAATCTCACGTGGAATCAGATTTCTGTTTTAATGGTTGTGAAGGTGCCTGTCTTATTGGTGAGTTGGCCTGGACTCAGTAACAGATAATGTGAATTAGAATGATGAGAGCTTTCCGCAGAGAGGCTGGCATTTGGCGAATGCTGTGACTGAGACCCCCAGGGTTAGTTAAAAGGAAGGAGACAAGATAAATGCAGAGGGTGATGCCTGGATGGCTCAGGCTCAGGGAGAAGAAATCCACTTGCCAGGTGGTACCTGGTGCTGAGATCTATTTAAAAAGCCCACAGATCCTTGAAGACGATCAGTAATTCTGTGGAAGATTCAGGGAAGACTGCTTCATTAGCAAGTGGGGCTTTTTCCTTCCTTAAATAGAGGATTCGTTCCTTTAGTAGAGAAGACAAAATGTAGCACTGTTCTAATTAAAGCACCGACTGTGTTGTTTAAAGAAAATGTCCTTGGCATTCCTGAAACATAAAACACGTTAGAAAAGCCAATAAATGCTTCGCATTTTCCAAGTGAATAACTGAGGGCTAAATTTTACAGAATATTCCTCAAATACAATAGCTTTTCTCTCACTAATAGCATTCAATTAAAATTGAAATATTGCTTTGTATTACCTTATGATGTATTATGTTATTTTATATTATATTATGTATTATATATAATATATGTATCTTTAACAAATCGTTTTTCTGACACAAATTTTTGAAATGTTGATTTTTTTAAATTAAAGTGTAGTCAATTTATAGTGTGTCAATTTCTGGTGTACAGCACACTTCCAGTCATATGTGTACATTCATATATTCGTTTCCATAGTCTTTTTCATTACGCGATAGTACAAGATATTGAATATAGTTCCCTGTGCTGTACAGAAAGACCTTGTTGCTTATCTTTATTATATATAGTAGTTAATATTTGCAAATCTTGAACTCCTAAATTTATCCCTTCCCACCCTGCTTCCCCTGGTAACCATAAGTTTGTTTACTATGTCTGGAGTCTGTCTCTGTTTTATAGATAAGTTCATTAGTGTCTTCTTTTTTCTTCTTTTAGATTCCACATGTGAGTGATATTACATGGTATTTTTCTTTCTCTTTCTGGCTCACTTCACTTAGAATGATGATCTCCAGGCCCATCCATGTTGCTGCAAATGGCATTATTTTATCATTTTTATGGCTGAGTAGTATTCCATTGTATAAATACCTCAACTTCTTTATCCAGTCATCTGATGGACATTTAGGCTGTTTCCATGTCTTGGCTATTGGAAATAGTGCTGCTATGAACATTGTGGTGCATGTGTCTTTTTGAATTAGAGTTCCCTCCAGATACATGCCCAGGAGTGGGACTGCTGGATCATAGGATATGTCTATTTTTAGCTTTCTGAGGACTCGCTATACTTTTCTCCCTAGTGGCTGCACCAAACTGCGTTCCCACCAGCAGTGTAGGTGGGTTCCCTTTGAAATGTTGATTATTTACTTAAAACTGCACCAGATGCTTCAGAAAGTGCACAAGCTGTAGAAAACACGGTCTCTGTCTCCCGGGAGAGTACACCCGCCCGGCCGGGAAGGCGTGTCTGAGTGGGGACAGTGCTGTGGGCAGAGCATGGGTGGACACTCAGTACGAAGGGCCTGGGTGTACTACGGGAGCCCGGAGGAGACGGGCTTTGAAGCTGCAGGTCCTGTGCAGACGGCCTGAGGAAGGGCAGCGAGGCCGGATTCAGGTGTGTGTTGGTGGACGCACCCACGTCCCAACCCCGGAACCGGTGACTACATTACTGTACACAGCACAGCAGTGTTTGCTGCTGTGATGAAGGATCTTGAGTTGGGGAGACCATCCTGGATCTCGGGGTCCTGCAGGGGGGAGGACGGGAGGGCCAGAGTCAGAGGAGGAGACGTGCGGAAGGAGGGAGGTGGGGAGGACTGGGGGTGAAGCGGTCGGGGATGCAGCCACCTCCCGACAAGGACCCCCAGGTGGAGCAGGCCCTCCTGACGCTGGATGTCAGGGCTCCTGTGCAGGCAGAAGAAATTGTGTGGTTTTATCAGTTTTGACAAGTATAATCATGGAGTCGCCACGGTGATCAAGACTCTCCCCATATCCTCCTCTCCTTTGCAGTTAGTCCCCCCGGCCACTTCCCAGCCCCGGGACCGGGTTCTGTCCTGCCAGAGGTCCTGTGCGTGGGTCTCGCAGCGAGTGGCTTTCCGGCCCCGGTCAGGCTACCCCAGGTCTCATCAGCCTCGCCTGGGAGCTCGCATGTATCGGGTTCATTGTTCATCACCTGGCGTGTCCCCTCGAAGGAATGTGTCTCACCAGCTGACGGACGTGCAGTTGCCTCCAGGTTGGAGCAGCTGTGAACACATAATAACATAACAGAGCAGCTGCGGGTGTTCAGAGACAGGGTTTCTGTACTCGCACACTTCCCTTGGTCTTGAGCAAACTCGTAGGAGCCTGATGGCTGGTCTCACATTCCGTGCACCTGTAACTTCACAAGGGAAACTCCAGGTCGTTTTCCACAGGGCTGTGCTCCTTGGTCCCCAGCGACGCACGGATGCCGGTCCTGTTGCTGTGTCCTGGCCCTGGTACCCGTACCCCGCACCTGTACGCCCAGTCCCCCAGGTGTACGTGCGGCTGCAGCTGCGGGCTTCGTCCTGGCCCCGGGTGAACGGTGGCTTCAGACAGCTTTTCAGTGTACATTTTCCACATGGGCAACTTCCTTCATGAGGCACGTTCGGGTGTTTGCCCTTTTTGTGCTGGGTTTTCTTTTATGTTTAAGTTGGAAGATCTCTTTTCATATTCTGGTCGAAAATCTTTTATTTGATTGTCTTTTACTCATCTTTTATTGGGTTTTTTCCCCTTTAATACTGAGTTGTAGGAGTTGTCTGTTCATTCTAGATGCAGCTCCTTTATCAGACTTTGATTTTACAGAATTTTATTCCAGTGTCGACCTAATCTTTTCAGTTCCTTAACTATGCCTTTCACAGAGCACGCACTTTAACTTTGATGAAACCCAGTGTGTCAATTTCTTTCTTTCTTTTCTTTTTTTCCTTTTCTCCTTCCTTCCTTCCTCCCTTCCTTCTCTGGGCTCTCTTTTTAGTGTCCTGTCTAAGAAATATTTGCCTCACCTAATGTCATAAAATTTTCTGTGTTGTCCTTGAAGTTTTACAGGTTGGATTACTGCACTTAAGTCTGGGATCCACTGCGCGCACTTTGTGTATAATCAGTGAAGTGTGGACGGGGGTTCTTTTTTCGCATCTAGCTCTCCAGTTGTTCAAGCTGCGTTTTTTGAAAAGCCTGCCCGCTCCTCGTTGGATTTCTTTGCCGCCTTCTTGGCCGTCTCCCAGGTGGGTCTGCGGGTGTGCTTCCAGGCTCCGTCTCCCTTGTCTGCACATGTCTCCTGATGCCAGTGCCGCATCCACCCAGTGCTGTAGCTTTACAGAAAGCCTGGACATCGCTTGGTGTGAATTATTCAAATTTGTCCTTCATTTTCAGTACTGTTTTGGGTTTTTTAGATCTTTTGTCCTTCCATGTAAGTGTAGAATCACTTGCCCCATTTCTACAAAAAAAGCCTGCTGGAATTTTAATTGAGATTTTTTTGAAAGTATACTTCAGTCTAGGGAAAAATCATGTCTTAAAAATACTTGGTTTTCCAACTAAGAACATGACGTATGAACAGAAAATCATTCTTATTTAGATTTTTCAAATTCTGCCAGCGATGCTTTACAATATTATGTCTATTCCATATACTTCATCCTATCGTAATATTTTTTGAAATTTCAGTTTACAAACTTTTCTTATTTTAGCATCTAGAAATAGAGCTGATTTTTGTACATTTCCCTTCGATCCTGTGGCCCTTTTAAATCTGCTGATTAGTTTTTGTGACTTTACTTTTAGACTTCTGGGGGATTTTCTAGGTAGGCAATATGTTATCCGTGACAGAGACAGTCTTAGTTCTTCTTTCTTTGCCAAGAGATGATTTTTTTGTTCTTTTTTCTTCCATATTGCAATGCTGGAGGCTCCAGGAAAATGTTGGGACGAAGTGATGGGAAGTCGACACTTTGTCTTTGAACTTGGGGATAAATACTGGTTGTTTTCACCATTAGTTATCACGTCAACTGCACAGACGTCATCCGTCTGGGGAGGTTCCTCCTCCATTCCTGGTTCGCTGAGGGGTTTGGTCTTCAATGTGTTGAATTTAGTGGAAAACCGGTCTCACTTCCCTTGAGCTGTTCGTCTGGTGCGCTGCATTGATGTTCAGATGTTTGTGGAGCCTGGCAATGATGGTGTGAGTCCCAGGGGACGTCAGGTGTGCTCTTCCCGCAGCTGCTGGCGCTGGCTTGGCGGTGCTTTGTTATGGATAGTCGCAGCTGTGCTTACGAGGGAGGTAAAGCTAATTTTCTCTCTTCTAGTGTATTCGTCTGGTTTTGGTATCAGTAATTCCAGCATCATAAGAAAAGTGGGAACATGTTTTCTCCTCTGTTGTGTTCTGGGAGGTTTTGAAAGAGTTTACCAGTAAAGCCACCGGGGCCTGGAACTTTCTCTGCAGAAGAGACACAGCTCCTGCAACAGGGCCATTTGGGTCACCTGTTACTGAGTGAGTTTTGGTACTTTTCCTCTTTTAACAAGTTTCTCTATTTCACCCATGTTGTCCAATCCAACAGCACAAGGCTGTTCCCGACATTCTCCTATCTCGCAGATCTCCGGTGCTTCAGTTGTACCCCATCCGCAAACCCTCAAGAAAGAGTTATGAACTTAAAAAGCCAAAAACTGAAATAAAAGTAAATAATAAAAGTACTGAATCTAAAAGACAGGAAAACAAGGAAGAAGACGGATGGAACTAAAGATAATCACTGAGCCACAGGGTGACGACATCACATGCGGTGTTAATGGCTCCAGCACCTGGATTAAGAAGAGAGTGACAGGTTGGATGAAAGGCTAGGCCAGCTCCTGCTGCTTTAGGCCATTATTCACGAGGGAGATTAGAGATGAGAAC